ACAGTGTTGGCTGGAGCTTCCCGACTAAATCAAGCCTGGAAGCAGGAGCGGCATCCACTTCCAAAATGGCTTGCCTCTGGAAACTCTATGTACAAACAGTGCTCAGGCTGTTCATTCATAGGGTCGCTATGAGTCGTCTACAACTCGACGGCATTAAACAACAGCAGCAACATTGCTAACAATGCATAAATCAACTGTGCCAAAGTTCATTTAATTTTTAACATTCTGATAACTTGAGAAATGTTTCTTATCAGAAAAAAAATCTCAAATTTATTGTCATTTGTAAAGATTTATTTAGCTGTTTATTTCAATATTCCTAATTTATTTCCTAGCACACACTTGAGGACTGTGTGGCGTCTTAGGGTCACTTTTAGTTATTAAGTCCCGTAGGCACATAGGTAATACAAGTTTTTAGTTTCTTCTCAAACCAAAATGCTTATAAATATCATGCAGCAAACCTTTTTTTAAAAAAAACCTCAGTTTTTTTTTTTTAATTCTTTCGTTCTTCAGTACTACAAGAATCATCTCAGAGGATAACGTATTATGCTTTAAAAATCATTTTATTTCCAAGGGAGGTAAGCATACTAATGTTAGGTATAGTAGCTTTAAGGCTCCTTCATGTAAGATGGTGAGGAAGATTTGGAAATATTGGTGTTAGATCGGGAAAATACTTTTGAAATTGCTGAAGATACTTTTGCCAGCATTTTAGATCCTTGTTTGGACACACTGGTTTTGGACATTTCTGTGAATAGACCAATAGAGAAATATATTAAACATTTATTAAATATTTTAATTGTGACAACAATATGAGATCATAATTTAAGAGTCTGAAATTGACATTCATTTTAGGTCTGTGGGTTGTAAAGAACACTCATAGTCTGGATTTAATCATTCCAGCATTCTGTGAAAGAAACAAGAGGAACACTTGCTAAAGTTTTGGGCAAGAAAGCTTGATGAGATTGCTTAGGCACAAAGACCCAGAGATGCTAAAAGAGCCAGTGTGCAGAGAGGGTCCATGAATCTGTATTGTTTGTAAATATTCTAATGTAAGCAATCCCTGAGGAGATGCTGAGAATACAATCCAGAATGGTAGTCAGCATTCAATTCCTCCATAGTATTCAAGACTGTTAAGTGTCTGATATTTTAGATTAGCAATATACATAAAATTTACCTCCAGACAGAAGTGAACCCCTGTTACTTCCATTAAATCTTTATTGTTATTTCCATTTAATCTTAACCAAACTGTATCTCATTCCTCAATGCAAAGGAAAGTAGATGGGGCTGTCTTAATTTACAGAAGGGGAAAAAATATGAGTATATTATATACATCTATTTCTTTTTTCATCTGTAAATTAGTTTGCTAAGACATACAGAGAGGGAATTTTGTGGTACAAGAGAGATAAATAAAGGTAAGGTTTTTAACCTATGAAGTGTTTCAGAAAACCTTTGAATCATTTGTTAACATTCAAAATTCAGAACTTTCATTTAAAAAAATTACATTAATAAGTTTTATGTGACTTTTAAACCACAGAAAATTTATATCTCCAATTTCTCTTGAAAAACCAGAAGTTCTAGAAATAAAACAGCATGGCAAGTATTGGTTGAAGTAGCAGCTCCCTTTTTTTAAATAGGAGAAGTCATCTTCAGTGCGTCACAAAATCCTGCTCGACATATTATGTAATAATATATTATGTAATACTTATATACCTGTTGTTTATAGTACATAGTCACAGTTTAGTGAATGAACAATAGTCAAGTGGAGTAATATTCGAATTTGAAATTAGGTAGATCTGTGAATTCTAGATGTATCATTTATTTGCTGTGGGTGACTTTGGATAAACTACTCTCATATCCCACTTTATTAACTTTTATTTTCCTCTTTAGTAAAAGGGGGATAATCCATCGTTGGGTTAATATGAGTAAATAACTTAGCACACCTTATAGTACATAGTTGTAACTGATAAATGCTATTTCCATTTTTTTATTATTTCTAACTTTTTAGGCAGGGTTCAAGAAACCTCATAGAAAATTACAAATTATAAATTGTTATTTATTTATTTATGCTGTTGTTGTTGTTGTTATGTGCCGTCGAGTCATTTGCGACTCATAGTGACCCTATGTACAACAGCCCTAAACCGTGCTCTATCCTGTGCCAATCTCATTGCCTCTGACAAACCCATCCCTAGTACCCCAGTCACTGAATCAATTATGTTATTTATGTAGACAGGAAATATATTATTTTAACCTCAAATAGGCAATGTTCAGGTTATGAACTTTTAACATATGGTCAACTCTTACTTGCTCAATTACTTTTACTTCTCAGTAAATACGCTTACTTGAATTGGGAAAGTGTTCAATTAAGGATCTCTCCAAAATAATAAAGAGTAATCATGCCAATTTAAAGACAAAGGTTCATGTCATTCAAGTCATGGACTTTTCAGTTACTTGTTATACATCTGAAAGTTAGACAATGACTTAAAGTATGGTGGCCTAATACTGAGAAGCTGTGCTGTGATCTCAAAGGCATGTGGTTCAAATCCACCAGCTGTTGTGTGGGAAAAGGATAGTTAATCTCCTCCCATGTGATTAAACTGTCTCTGAAAACCTGCCGTGGATTGGCAAAAGAAAAAAAAAACACACCAAAACATCACTAGAAAACAAAAAACCAAGTATATGTGGGAGAACGTGCAATCAGGGTACTCCTTAGAGGAAAGGATGATGAAACATCACTTCACATACTTTGGGCAGATTGTTTGCAGGACTCATTCCTTTGGGGAAAAAAGATATCATGCTTGGAAAGGTGGATGGTCAGTGAAAGAGAGGAAGGAAACGAGTGGCACAGTGGCTGTAGTAATGGAAGGCACAGGATAGGGCAAATTTCAGATCCATTCATAGGCCATTGAATCATATTCTATTCGACTGCACCTAAAAATAACAACTTAGTTGCTCTATGCTCTTGTGTGTCATTGGGTCAGAACCCACCCATATCTGACCCTCCACCAGGGTTTCCAAGGCAGTAAATTTGACAGGAGGAGACTGCTCATCTTTCTCCCCTGGAGCAGCATATGGATTTGAACCACATGCCTTTGATTTACAGTGCAGCTTCTTAGCACTAGGCCACCAGACCTCCCTATAATGCTATGAAAATTTGCCTTCACTTTAAAATAATTGAACCAAGCTCAACTTGCAAAAAACGCTGTCATCCACAATTAGCTTCAATTGCAACACATACAGCTTTTAAAGCACCAAGAGGCTTTAAGCCCCTTCTTGCACCAAACCCAAAATATTCAAACCTTTTGCTACTGAAACTTATGACACATTGCAACATAGTAAGACAGAGTAGAACTAATCCACAGAGTTCCCAAGACTGAAAGTCTTTACAGAAATGGAATATATCTTTCTCCTATGAAGCAGCTGGTGGTCTTGAATTGCCAACCTTTTGGTTAACAATTAATCGTTTTAATCAGGTTCATATACACTAAAATCATTTGCCCGCTTAGAGCTGTCAAGATAGAACTGATTCATAGCTGACCTTCCACTGGGTTTTCAGAGGCTATAAAATCACAAAATCATAAAATAAAGATTATTTGTAGCTGATCTGAGTTACCTATAAATTATTGAAGACATAGTTAAGAACAGGTCTTGTTTGTACTTGTGTATTGGTAATACAGAATATACAGACTTGACTATACTGATATTGCAAGGGCGGAGTCACTAATTTTAGGATGGACATCACAAAATTTTGAAATTCACCTTTTGTAACTGAAAACTTGGTTATAGAAATGGTAAAAATATCATCATAGTTTATACCTGCATTGTCCCTTGAGGACTGCTCTCTCTCAAGAAGTGGTTGGTATCCTTCATAGATGGTATAAAACTGCCAAGACAAAGGGAAACACGGACTTAGTCTTTGGTAGACAACAAATGCTCAAGAGATCTAGAAAACTATCAAGAGGTGGAAGTCATTCTTTGTACCATTGTAGCTAGTAATGTCTGTACTCTGTAGACTCAAAGAATCATCCTCTGAGGTCTAGGCTTATGCATTTTGTCAATTTTTGTGATACTTATGATTTATTTTGTTACGGACATAGACCTTGGTACTATTAAAGGGTGATTTTAAAGCCTCAGATAAGACACACAAAAAACACACACTGTCTGCTTTTATCTGTCCACTTCCTTTTTCTGCTAAATTAGGATAAAAAAATAAGTTACAAATATCTTTTTTAAAAAACAAGTGTAATTGAAAGAAAGAAAATATTTTACTTAGTAACTCCAATTTCCTTGTATAAAAATCTTATCAAGTGTAGAGTATGCCCTTTGAAATAATAAAATAGCTATATGAAGCTGGAACCGAACCATAGCTGACCCAGCGGTGGGTTTTCAGAGGCAGTTATTCACATGGAAGGAGATTTTCCATCCTTCTTCCATGGAGCAGCTGGTGGCCTTGAACATTGTGCCATCAGGATTGCAGCTCAGCTTTTTGTCACTAGTCGATCAGATAGACCAGGTACTATTTTACTCTGTACACTTCTGTCATTTAAATATAGAAGCACTGACTGTTGAGAAGTACAAAGTAACTTGAGACACGTAGCTGAGAAGATCTATGGGTGAGGGACTTGTGAACCAGGTGATATTTCCAGATTTCTCTCATAGCAAAGTACACATTTACTAATTTAACCTTAAAACCTTTCATAATTTAGAACCTATTTTTATCTCAGTTAAAATCCACTCCTGTAGAGAGACTCTAAATGTACAGAGTATAACTGTTCCACAGAATTTACTCGACTACAATTCTTACAAAGATAGATTGCCCTTGCATTTTCTTGTGGAGGCAATGTCTGGATTCAAATTGCCAACCTTTAAACTGATTATAGAACTCATTGTAAAATCCAGGAACATATTTTTTTTCCAATTAGAAACTATTTAAAGATATTTACCTTAATACTGCTTGTATTCTCCACTGGTTTTTCTTGAGAATGGTCTGTGGGCAAAACAAAATATTTGAAAATAGTAGTTTCTTCCTGAGGCATGTATAATTTTGACACATCCCTGATACTAGTTTTGTGGCATTTTCTTTCACTACAGAATTATAAATTTAGGTAGATAGAAGCAGATATGTGTAATTTTTTCCCAGTGTAAAAATACTAAAAATACAACTGACAGAGGTTTAAAAATAGAAATTTTAGTAATATCTTTACTCTTTAGGCAGATTTACAGAAGGTGCAGACTGATATAGTAGGAGGACAGGTATCCCGTAAGTAGATAAAATGTGTACTCAAACCACTCAACCTCTACCAGTCTGTTTTCTTGTCAAACGTGGGGTTCCACTGTAGACCATTCCTAAATACCTCTGTAGCTCTAACACTGATTGTTGTTGTTAATGTGCTATTGAACTCGACTGACCTGGTTGGTTTTCAGAGGTAAATACTGGTTGGTTTTCAGAGGCAGTAAATTGCACAGAATGAGATTGCCCATCTTTTCCTTGTGGAGCAGCTGGTGGATCTGAGCTATGTGTCTTTGGATTGGCAGCACAACTTCTTACCACTAGGCCACCAGAACCCCCAAACACCAATTACAGACAGTTTAAAAAGGAATGCAATTTCCAAGCTAAAGGTTTGTCAAAGAAGGAAGTTCTGAATGAATGAAATAATATTTCTTTTGAGAACCAGGAGAGTTTTGAGCACCAACTGATTGAGTCTTGTAGTAGTGCTATAAATCCAAATGTTGCCTGAGTTTCAGGGA